CTCTGTAAACATTTCAGTTTAGCCTTCTGGGCAATTATAATTGCAAATGTGTGTTCTAGAAGTTACAAAATACAGACTAAATGACCTGGTAGGGACTTGGAGGTCTTTTAGTCCAACCAGTTGCTCAAGCAGGAGACCATGGCTGTGGATGGCTTTAGATTGAGTTGATACAGGCAAAAGATTTCTTTCTCCCATATTTGGGCCGACAGGGTGCATCAAAAAACACTCAAGGTAATTCTCCTCCCCTGTCTATTCCTTCCCTCACACAGCTGACAAAGTGAGAAAGAGCCTGTGGCCTAGAGGTCAACACAGCTGCCCAACGTGCAAGCAGCCCAGGTTCGAATCTCAGAAGGGTATGTCTGGCTGATGAGAGCTAATTAGCTCAAAATAGCTATTCCAGTCTCCCTTAATTCTTTGTTAGCAATCCAAAAAAATTTAAAATATCTATATATCTATATCTATATACACACACTTCAAGTGATTTTTATTCTATACCTCTCTTTATATAACCAAGGATTGTATTAGCTTTCTTGGCTGCCGCTGCTCACTGCTGACTCATATTTAAGTGACCGTCCACCAGGATTCCTAGGTCCCTCTCACAGTTATTGTTTTTTGAGCCAGGTTTCACCTAATCTTACTTGTACCTTTGGTTTTTCCTGCCTAAATATAAAACATTGCTTTTCTCCACATTAAATTTCATATTGTTGGATTGGGCCCATTATTCAAATCTGTCAAGATCTTTTTGGATCCTGAACTTGTCTTCTGGGATGTTGGCTATTCCTGCCAACTTAGTGTCATCTGCAAATTTGATGAGTTCCCTTTGTATTCCCTCATCTAAGTCAATTATGAAGATATTGAAGAGTGCTGGGTCTAAGACAGAACTTTATGGTACCCCACTGCTTACTTCCCTCCATGTAGATGTAGTACCATTAAGGAGGACTTATTGAGTACCATTTGTCAGCTAGTTACAAATTCATCTGGTGGTGATGCTGTCTATCCCACATTTTTCTGGCTTACCAAGAAGTAAGTTGTGATCTACTTTGTTGAATGCCTTGCTAAAGTCTAAGTGTACTATGTCCACAGCATTTCACTGGTCAACTAGGATCTTGACAGACTTGAACATTGGGTGCTATCTAACAAAATGAAATTCAATGATGAAAAAAGTAAGGTTCTACATTTAGGCACGAAAAAACAAATACACAGGTATAGTATAGGTGGTATGTCACTCAATAGTAGTAACTGTGAGAGGGATCTTGGAGTCCTAGTGGATAATCACTTAAATATGAGCCAGTGGTGCAGCTGCCAAAAAAGCCAACATAGTGCTAGGCTGCATTAACAGAGGGATAGAATCAAGATCAGGTGAAGTGTCAATGCCTTGGTAAGGCCAAACTTGGAATACTGCATCCAGTTTTGGTCACCACAAGGTAAAAAATATGTTGAGACTCTAGAAAGAGTGCAGAGAAGAGCAACAAAGATGATCAAGGAACTAAAGGCTAAAACATATTAAAAACGGTTGCTAGAATTGGGTATGTATAGTTTAATGAAAAGAAGGACAAGGGGTGACATGATAGCAGTGTTCCAATATCTCAGGGGTTACCACAAAGAAGAGGGAGTCAAGCTATTCTCCAAAGCACCTGAGAGCAAGACAAGAACCAATGGGTGGAAACTAATCAAGGAGAGAAGCAACCTAAAACCAAGAAGAAATTTCCTGAGAGAACAATTAATCAGTGGAACAACTTGCCTCCAGAAGTTGTGAATGCTCCAACATTGGAAGTTTTTAAGAAGAGATTTGAAATGGTATAGGGTTTGCTGCCTAAGCAGAGGGTTGGACTAGAAAACCTCCAAAATCTCTTCCAACTCATTCTATTCTGTTCTGTTCTGTTCTGTTCTGTTCTATTCTATTCTATTCTATTCATCACTTTGTCAAAGAATGAAATAAGATTGGTAAATTTGGTAAATAAAAATTGGTAAATAAGAAGCATATCACCATTCAGAATCCAATTTTTAGAGCCACATCCTATCAGTGTCAATGCTGAATAGTAGTATCTCTTTTCAGAAATCAGAAATATTTTTGGCAGTCTTTGATGGCCACTGTGGATATTTTCCTACTCATGTGATCTTTGGATAGATGAAGATTTTTTAACCATCCTAGTTTAATCTGCCTTCCCTGGATTCTGTCATACAATGAAGGGAAGGGGGTGAACAAAGGGGCTTTATGGCTCTCACTTCCTTCAGTATACTTCAAAGAGACTGAATGTGGATAGCACCAAAAGGCCTAATCATAACAAAGGGGGCTATTACCTTTCATGTAGTTTTCTCTGAAGTCTCCATCCAGCAGGCAGAAAGGAAAAGGGGGTGGGAATGTAATGCCTGAGACTGTCACTGGAAGTAGGGGGTGATTGAGTGGGGCTACTGGGAAACCCCTTAAAACCTTGAATGGGAGAGCTTGGACCCCAAGTCCTGTCTAGAACGCCTACAACCATTTTCTCTTAATAAAGGATGCCTGTTGGAAGAATTATTCCAAGAGTTCTGTCTTCTTAAGATGCAAAGTGGGGTGGGTCCTTACAATATATCTGATTTTGTTTCCCATGCAGATGGGATTTCTCTCTCTGACCTACATATGGCTTAGATTACAACTCACAGACTGACCATTTCCTCACTAGCAATTTCTAACATTATTTATTTATTTATGAGACTTATATACCGCTTTAAGTGCAAGCACTCTCTAAGCGGTGTACACCAGTAAGCAATGTATATATATATATATATTTACATTGCCCCCAACAATCTGGATCCTCATTTTACCTACCTCGGAAGGATGGAAGGCTGAGTCAACCAATCTAGCCCTCATTATGGAAATATAAATCCTCTCACTAATCTTACATAGCCACTGACTGAATTGTAATTTACACAACTGACAGACACCAGTTTGAGAATCAGAAATTTTTTCACCCACATGTAATTTCCACTGGGATCCTTTCCCAGTCCATCTGGATAGGACAGCACTCTTCCTATGCATTTGGGGAAACTGGGGGAAATGACTATTTCCTCGTCGTTTCCCCAGTCATTTTGAAGCATCTTCTACATTGCATAAAAAAAGTTTTTAAAATTCTACTCATATTTTCCAAACCAATTTATCATAAGATACAAGGAACTGCTGGTCTCAAACTATAAATGCAAGCCCCCTTTCCTTTTAGATTCAAAAAACAAATGACTGATACATTTCAATCCTGGCAGCATTCCATTCTTCCTGCTAAAGAAGTTTCCCTAATTTCAAAAAGTGAATTTCCTTCTCCAATCAAAAAGCCTCCAGACTACAGTTCCCATAACTCTGAATAAATATGAGGATTTGTAGACCTAATCCATCGGAAAGTTATTAGACTGGAAAAGAAAGTCCCGCTTTAATAGAAGCTGGCAAAATCAAAACCATCACATTGGTAAGTATAAAACATATACATTCAAGACAAAAATACACAGAAGACAATAGAAAAGCCCAACTGAATTTAAGGAATCAATTCTCTATGGTGTTTTGATAAGATTAGCTCTATCTATCCTGCCCATCCTTAAATGGATGAAAAGGAAAATCCAGGTCTCTCAAATAATATTGAAATAAGCAGGTTATACACAGTTTCCGTGGTGGATAACTGGATATGTACATGTAAATTGGTCGAATAGTTGCTTTTGTAAATAAGTCACATGTCTAAACTAAACACTCAAAGAAAGAAATACATTTTTTCAGGGAACAAGCTTGGACTAAGTCTTCTTACAATGTCAACTAAGTAATTCCCAGGAAGATCTTTTCATGGCCTCCTCCTACATTTTCACAGATACCAATCTCTGGTGAGAAAGAAATGCCTGAACCAACCTCTCAGGACTTAAAGTGATACTACAAGCTGTTAGTCCCTCTTTGTCATTACTCTAAGTTGTATCTCTTCTATCCACAAATCTGGCCATGATTCAATTCTGAGTTAGCCACCAAAACTGTGAATTCCAGATGCTGGGCAGCGAGAGTAGCAGAGTAGAAACATCTGGGAGGAAACCAGTAACTGAGATACATAAGAGACTCTTTCAAGATCTCTACATCCGTGGAAAGCATGGATGTTACTAAAAAGGGCAAGTGGGGGTGCTATACATTTTCTGCTACTATAAATTGCAAAATATGGGGATTTTGAAAGTGAATATGGCTGCCAAGAATAAATCAAATGCAGGTGCAAGATCTCAAGCCTTGGGCTGTTTACATATTTCCTCCCTGCTGTCACTATTGAAGGACAAGAGCACACAGGTGTGTTTTTCACCAAGAAGCAACAGCTGCACTTGTTCTACTTTGACAGAATGTCAAGCAATTGCTGCCCACAAAGTGGCACAGTCCAGACAACCCACTCCTACCAGCTCCCAGTGGACAAGATCCACAAGATGGGTGGTGTGTGTGTGTGTGTGTGTGTGTGTGTGTGTGTGTGTGTATTTGTGTGTCTGTATATATGAGAGGGGGGGAGGGGGGGAGGGAGGGGGGAGGGAGGGAGGGAGGGGGGGAGGGAGGGAGGAAGGAAGGAAGGAAGGAAGAAGCAGAAGCTGAGAGGAAGAGAAATGTGGCATGTGAATTGGCATCAAATCTGCCTGGTATTTGGGAGTCATTTGCTGTGGTTAGCTCACCAAGGGGTATAAGTTGGAAGAGGAAAAGTTCCTCCTGGTGTTAAATATATAGAATTCAGTTCAATTGTGTCCCTGGCTTTCCAGGCATTGGAGGAGCAGGTACCATGACTGTGAGGAGTTCTGGAGGAAAGAACTAGCAGGATCTCTATCTTCTTTTTCCCCTCTTCAAATTCATCAGTGGGAGCAAGAAGAGAAAGGTTCTGCCACAACTCAACAAAGGGTTGGGGAAAAATGCAAAGATCATAATTACTTTCGGTTCTATTTTCAAAGGCGTTGAAGAATCTCTAAAGCACCCCCCCCCCCGTTAAGAAACAAAGGCAGACAACAAGGACCGCAGGCATGAACCATACCCCCAAATCCAGGACGCAGCCTGTTGTCATAGCCATCCAGGAGACGATCCAGGATGCGTGTAAAATTCTCCGGCCATAATTTTTCTTCCTTTCTGAGCTGTCCCGGGAGCGCGGTGAGACTGGAAGTCGAAGGAAAGAAAGCGTGAAGCCTGGGGCATACGAAATCAGGAAAGGAAACGAGATAAGACCGCCACCATCGAGAGAAGGGGGACGCATCCTTGCCTCCCTGGTTCGCGCCCACTCCGAATTCTCTGCCACCCCACCCACCCCCTCCCCGATTCTGGGCATCAGGTACACAGGTGCAAGGAAACTGAGAGCGGCGGTGGCGGCAGCAGGAGGCGGAGAAGCGAAGCGAGAAATAGAGCGCTTACCAAGTCGCCAAGCACAGGAAGTGTACGAAGATGATCGACAGACCCGAAAACATAGCGATCGTTGGCTCCTTGGCAGAAACCATCTTCGCTTGCCATACTTTAAGCCTGGTTGCGCGTTTCCACGTCGCTAAACGCCTCTTCCAGAGAGGAGATCACCCGGCCACTAAAGAAGGAAAGGGGGGGGGAACGGAGAAGGAAAGACCGAGCGGGGCGGGGGAAGGAGAGGAAGGGCGGACGATCCCGCCACCGGTACGCACGATCTTCCAGCCGGGAGCCCACCTAGACAACGATCTGGTACACGCCGAAAGGCAAAAGCCCGGAGGAGGAAGACGAGGAGAAAGACGACGAAAAAGTAGGGCCCGCTCCTCAAGCTAAGCCTCCATAGCCCAAAGCTACATCTTGTCGGCGTCCCCGGAGCCGAGGCAGGTTAGCGCCCGAGCGCGCACACCAGTTCCTCCCCTGCGAGTTCTTTCCCTTCACTCTTTGGGGGATCCCAGGCTTTCAAATCCCACCTCTTCCTGAGGCCCCTCCTTCTCTCCTCCCCATTCCCATTTCTCCGATTCATCTCTCCTACATCTCATTTTTGCTTCGGTTTAATTTTTTTCTCTCTGCTTTAGCAAAATTGGGGATTAAAATCACCTCGTGGAGTGCTCTGGGCGGATCGGCAAAATCAATCTCGACGTAACAACCAGCTATTAATGAATTTCCGAGCATATGCAGAGTGCCTCGACGATTACCCTTAACGTATTACCCTCCCACATGAATAAAGGAAGCCAAGGGGAAAGTCCTGCTCGTCAGTCACCTCTTCTTCTGCAGCCAAAAGTACAGTATAAAGCTAATTCATGAAATAAGGAAAAAGTATCTATTAAATGTGTCTTATTTCCCCCCTCATAATCAAATAAATTACTAGCACCGAAACTATCTGGGATTAGGAAGCTTCTTTAAAATTACCAACTATTTTAGGAGTATTCTCAGGGATTTTTTCCTTAACTAGAATTAAACATTACTTTACCCAGGATTAAGATGAAATGTTAATATATATATTGCTAGTCCATGTATGATATGCCATATGCTAAATAACCAGAATTAAGGATAAATTTTGCTTTCAACACAAAAAGAGCAGAATGATTAACAAATCTCTCTACAGCCTGGCATTACACTGCCCCACTTAATTTGTCTTCTACCTTCCTCTGCTCCAGATGCTACAGACCTCCTTGAATGGCATTATGGGTGATCACATCAGGCCTGCAAAAGTCCCGGTGACCACAGATGGCAGCAAAAACGGAAACATCTAACTTGGCTGCCATGAAGCTTTTTATAATCCAGAATGGAGAGCCTGAGTGACATCTTCTCTTTCATTTCTTGAAAGCCTCTACTGAATTACTATCACCTCTCCTCACTGGCTGGTTTGCAGATGTTTTCTTTCTTCTTTTTCTGGCTAAGATCAAGTTGATGAACTCTTCATTGGTCCTCATGGCGGGGGTGGGTGGGAATTGCCTAGAACAGGGGTCCCCAAACCCTGATCTGTGAAATGGCATCAGTCCATGGCATACCAGTGTTGAAAGAAAAGTCTTCATCCTGGTTCATCCAAGCCGGGGATAAATAAACAACATGGCAACTGCTTTAGAAAGAAGGTTGCAGTTTATTGAAGAGCCAGACCGAAAGATGGTTCTGGCAGGAAAGAGAGAAAAACTGGGCAAAGCACATGTGGCAAGTAGGTTTTTATACCCTCTGAAAGCCTTTTGTTTGGAATAGTTTTCTGTTTCTGTTTTAGGCTTTGTATTTCCTGTGTCACGTATTCTGACCTGAGTCTGGGTGTGCCTTTCTGGTATTCTGATGGTGATAGGTTAGTCCTATTATCATATCCTGCTTCCCTGGTGATGGGACTAATGACTCCTAGAGTTTGGGTGGGTTATGCAGTTTTTAGGTGCCTTTGTCTTCTTGATCTCCTAGCTGGGGCCTTTCTGATGGTTTACATCTGCATTTGTACATCTGGCTTCTGCTTGGGACAGAGAGACTTGGGGGCAGGGTTGGTTTCTGCTTTTAAAATCCTTTTGAGGAAATATATTTTTCTGCCCTTTTAATATCTTCTTCTCTGCGGAACTGACTTCCCTCACCAGCAACTGGACCACACAAACAAGTGAAGCCCCATTGCGGGATGTAGGCAACATGCAAAATCATGCCGCCTCCAATCTGCAGAAAAATCTGCATTGAACTGATCCCTAGTGCCCAAAAGGTTGGGGGCCACTGACCTAGAAGATAGTAAAATCAGAGATAAAAATAAATGACAAATTGGATTACAAGGTGGATTTTTTCCCCTAGAAATTATGGAAAGCTGCAGAGAAAAGGGGAAGTTGCAAATTAACTGCTTTGTTAAAAACTGTCTCTCAACCCATCAGTGTATGCAGTTGGGTTATTTGTCACTCAACACAAAACACAGAAATGTCAAAGTCACAGAGAGGAAACTAATCAGTTACATGTGTGCCCTTACATTGTTGCTCTCTATTATCAAATCAGATTTTGGTGACCCAAATAATTTGTATCACAGTTCCTTCAAGGTATTCAGCAACCACTTTTCAAGAGTATAGAAATATTTCTGTTCAATCAAAGCTTGCTGGATTTCTTCAGGCAGAATTCTATTTGACCCAGCTGGTAAAAAAGGCTCCTCCAATCAGAATGCCAGACTGTTTTATCTGGGCCACTAAAAATACTACATAGAGATTGGATTTTCATTGCACAATCCCACACAAGCATTCAGAAGTGATACCCACTGATACCCATAGGGCTTACTGCTAAGTAATATGTGTAACAGTGTTCTGTATTCTTGGGCCTTTTAAACATACTGGTTTATACCACATCATCTTAAAGTTGCCAAGTTTGAAAAACACTGGTTTACACAATAACCACTGAATTGATGGACTTTTAGGTCCAAGATATCTGGAAATTGTAAGAAAATATACCATGAGATTATTAGATTGCCTTCAATTCCATCATATGCTTGAATGCTTCCATAGGCACTGGGGAGTCTATCTCAACCCTTGAACTAGAACATCCCGTGAATCCCTTATATGCAGGGATTCACTTTGATTCTATCAGGTCTGGCGCACTAAAGCCTCCTAGTGAGACTTCTGCCTACCACTACAGTTTTGGGTCAAAAGGGGACCCATGGAGCACTCTGGATCCCTCACAGAGTACTGGGATGCTCCTTTAGGGATCTACCACCATAGTTTCAGACCAAAAATGAGTCTCTCGAGGATGCTTCTGCTCCCCTGCAGAAGATACGGGATGCTCTTACCAGCATTACTTTCACTTTTCACTACCACTGTTTGCAGACTTCAAATGTCTGGGACGACCTCTGCTTGCTTTCCAGAGGTAAGGGACGGTCCTAGCCCGGGCTTAATTTCCTAACTTTGCTTTGCTTTGCTGAGTTTAGGTGTGCCTTTCTGGCCTTTGTGAATTAATCCTATCATGTCACTATTTCTTATATTTTAATTTCTCTTTAATTACCATTATTTTGCCAAATTGATTTTCCAGCAAAGCCCTGAACAAAGTCCATTTTTTTGCATAGTTTCTCTACCTATCTCTTTTTCATACCTGCCAGAACAGGTAGTTGATTCCCGTCCCAGGCCTCAAGCAAACTTTTACTGGGGAGCCTATCTCAACCCTTGAACTAGAACACACCATGATTCCCTTATTCCTTATGCAGGGGTTCACTTCAGTTCTATCGGGTCTGGCACACTGAAGCCTCCTAGTGAGACCTCCGCCTACCACCACGGTTTTGGGTCAAAAAGGGATCCACGGAGGACTCTGGATCCCTCACAGCGTATTGGACACTCCTTTAGGGATCTATCACCATGGTTTCAGACCAAAAAGGGGTTTGCCGAGGATTCTTTTGCTCCCTTGCAGAAGGTACAGGATACTCTCTTACCAGCTTTACCTTCAGTTTCCAGAGGTAAGGGACACTCTTAGCCCAGGGCTTAATTTCCTAACTTCAGACTTTGCTTACAGGGCCTAACCAGCTGGTTGCCCAAATCCAATTCTCTCATTCACTCATTCCATTCCATTTTCATACAGCCTTTCCCTTTTTGTGGGGGAAAAAAGCACGCGCAGCAAACTGCCATGCTTTCCCCCCCACAAACATCATAACCTTTTGATACCCTTTGTCCTAATGAAGCAGCCAGAAGTTCATACCTTTTTGACTTAATACCTTACCTACCTAAATAAATAATATGCTTTAAGTTCCCCCTTATTTATTTAATTTATTTATATGCCGCCCAATCCCAAAGGACTCAGGGCGGCATACAAAATTAAAACAATCAATGAGAATAAAACAATAAAATAATACAATCATACCGCAAGTCCGATCATGTCCTGCCCCCCCCCCGGGGACATCAGCCCCAGGCCTGCCGGAACAGGAGAGTTTTAATGGCTTTCTTAAAGGCCGGCAGGGTGGGAGTTGTTCGAACCTCGGGGGGAAGTTGATTCCACCAGGTCGGAGCCACCACAGAAAAGGCCCTTCCCCAAGGGCCCACCAGCCAACATTGTCTGGCCGACGGGACCTGAAGGAGCCCAATCTATGGGACCTCACCGGTCTCTGGGAACTGTGCGGCAGTATGCGGTCCTGTAAGTAACCTGGCCCTATGCCATGAAGGGCTTTAAAGGTGATAACCAATACCTTGAATTGCGTCCGGAGACCCACAGGAAGCCAGTGCAGCTCGCGGAGGATAGGTGACACGTGGGCGTATCTGGCGCGCCCACAATCGCTCTCGCGGCTGCATTCTGAACCAACTGCAGCCTCCGAATGCTCTTCAAGGGTAGCCCCATGAAGAGCGCATTACAGTAATCCAGTCTTGAGGTGACGAGGGCATGAGTGACTGTGAGTAAAGCCTCTCGGTCCACATAAGGCCGCAACTGGTGCACCAGGCGAACCTGGGCAAAGGTCCCCCTGGCCACAGCCGATAGATGTTGTTCCAAATTTAGCTGTGAGTCCAGGAGGACACCAAAGTTGCGTGCCTGCACTGAGGGAGGTAAATTTGCCCCCCCCCAGGACTAATGATGGACCATCCAGTTGACCTTTGGGAGGCAAGACCCAGAGCCACTCGGTCTTGTCAGGGTTGAGTCTAAGCCTGTTCACCCCCTGTCTTATCTCTTCCTGTCTTTATCTCTTCCTGTCTTTGTCAGTTCTTTCTCCTTTTTACTCTACCTGTTTTTACCTGCTCTCTGAACAGGTAATATGTTACTAGAAAATAGTTGCTTATATGAAGGAATTTTTCAATTACTTTATGTCAACAGCTAAAGGTTAAACTTATGAATGTAAAATGTCAGCAGTTAATGGTAAAGCCTATGTATGTAAAAAGTATATAAGAAGCAGTAAACTCAGAGTTTGTCAAGCTGTGTCCTACAGCTTCAAACCTCTGCTCAAGACATGCCTGAGTCTTTTTCTTAGCATCGTTACAACTGGTGCCCGTGGACAGGGACATCCCCTCCTGAGGGAAAGCAACAACCAACATATTTACAGTCATCTGGAACAGACCCCTTGGTGCACCTTCTCGTCTTCTCGTCCTGCGAGATTTCTCAAACTAAGTATGGGCTGCGATATATCTCACCTTCAGCAAAAGCTTGTAAGAGAGTTAAAGTTTCTCTTACACAAATCAAGCATGACAATGCCTGAAAAGAAGCTTAGGAAGCTGGTGAGTGAGATAGGAAAAAACTGTCCCTGGTATCCTGAAAGGGGGACGCTCCAACTTAAGGATTGGGAAAGAATAGGTAACACCCTTCATCAGGAACCCCGAGCCTCAGTGGATGTTTTGCATTGTTGGCATCAATGTTGCCATGCAGTGGAAAACTATGGGGCTGATGCAGTACAATTAAGTTCTACTCCCTCTCCAGGTTTTAATCATGAAAAGGTTTCAGTTCCATCAGCTCCTATATCTTCCATGATGGATGTGACACCTTCAGAGCAAAAGAATTCTAGATCTTATGTTTCCATTCGCCATGTATTAGAAAATCAAATGGCGAAAGGAGAGGGAGATATGCAGGAAATAGCAGATATGCTCTCAGTTTGTCCTGTACATTTGACTGGGCAGGTAGATGCGAATGGAGCCCCAGTGGTTGAATATCGACCACTTTCTTATGCAATCTTAACAGAATTGTGTAAGGGTATAAGAGATACTGGGTTAGGTAATTCACATGTGCAAGGTATCTTAGAAGCAACAATGAGGAATCATGTTTTGGTACCAGAAGATTGGAAAACAACAATTCGTATGTTATTAACACCAGCTCAGTATGTGATATGGGATAGTGAGTTTAGACATCAAAGTGCATTAAGAGCTGCAACTTCTGGAGGTGCTTACCTCCCAGAGCAGTTATATGGCTCTGGTGATTACATTCCAGTGGATGCACAAATTGTTTTGCCTATAGCTACTCTTCAAATATCCTCTGAATGTGCTTACAAAGCTTTTGGAAAAGTTCCTATAACTGGGAAACCATCTCAAGCATATTCAAATATTTGTCAAAAGGCAAATGAACCATATGTAGATTTTATTAACCGTCTGCAAGATGCCTTGAGACGACAAATTGATAATCCTGATGCCCAAGCTGAATTGCTTATGAAATTGGCTAAAGAAAATGCCACCACTGAATGTAAACAGGCCATCATTGGATTGGGAGCTCAACCAGATTTAGCAGAAATGATCAAAGCATGTCAGGACATAGGGACTGTTTCTTTTCAAACTAATCTCTTAGCTGCAGCTTTTACAAAAACTCAGAAACTTCAGGGGAAATGTTATAATTGTGGTAAAATTGGACACTTTAAAC